TTTTATATCAAGTATCAAAATTAATATTTGAACACGATACACTGTGTATGATAAAAATTGTAATGTATCATAGTGTTGAAACAAAGATATTATACATTAATTTAAGAAACAAAATTAACTAGATACATTAAAAATCTAGTTAATGTATCCCAAACTATAACCGTAAGATAATTTAGTAATTTGAACACGATACATTGTATATAATGAAATTGTAATGTATCATAATGTTGAAACGAAGATATTACACATTAATTTAAGAAACAAACACATCTAGATACATTAAAAATCTGAACACATATATATTAGAAAAATATGAACAAGAAAAAATCAGGAAAAAATAAATCAAATTGATATGAAAATTGTAACTAATAAGATTGTAGAGAATCCTTTTGAAAATCAAATTCATATGAAAATTGTAATTGATAAGATAGTAGAAAATCCTTTTGAAAATTGTAACTGATAAGATTGTAGAGAATCTTTTTGAAAATCAAATTGATATGAAAATTGTAACTGATAAGATTGTAGAGTGAAATTAGGGAGATATTACAGGAGTGAAAAAGGGAAGGAAATCATGTGTTAAGGCGGAAATACTTATGTATCCGTTTGACTTGAGAATTGAAAAAAAATAAGGGATTTTGGAAATATTTTGAAATGGTAGGGAATGATGGAAATTATGGAAAATAAAGATGTGTATATAGGTAATTTATCCTAAAATTTTTACCTATGAACTAAAAGTTTAGGTAGACAATCAACTATACTATTAATATTCCATTTGATATGTGTATTTAAGTCTGATTGATCAATTTTTTCACTAATTAAATTGAACTATTTTATCAATTTGTATATTAATAAACCACACCAAATATTTTTTTTTAATAGATTTTTTTATTTTCTCAATTTTTTTGAGTTTGATTAGAATCATATTATAATAAAGTGTATTTGATTTTTTATGGCATATGGTGTAAATACCCACACTATTTTATACAATTATTTAATTCAATTCATATATATATATATATATATATATATATGTTTTTTTTTTTTTTTTTTATTTATTTATTTTTAATTAATCTTTTTTATTTTTGTTCCCACCCGGTGTCTGATACCCACATTGGAGCCTGACTAAATTCGAATTCGCGTCGGAAAGTCCCACATTGGGGCTAAAGCTCTCCCTAACAAAGGCCACTCCGTACCCAAGGAGACTCAAACCTGAGACCTCTTGGTTAAGGATGAAAGAGTACTTACCACTCCACCAGAACCCTTGTTGGTAAACAATTATATATATATACAAAAATATCAACTGTAATGCGCAAAAAAAAGGAAAAATACATTATATGATAAATATTTGTAAATACAAAATATTTTTTTCCTTTAAAAAATAAATTGAATTAGATATAATTGTATGGAAGTGTGGAATATACATCATATTTGTAAAAATTAAATTAGTTTTTGTGTAATACGCAATCAAACTTTTTTAAAAATTGAGAAAATAAAAAAACTTAATTTTATTGATTCGGTTGGTTTGATAAGTGAAAAAGCTAATCAATCTAACGTATATATATGTACCAAATGAGAAATTTTCATAGCTCAGTTAATTGACTATTTAGGCGTTCATCTCGTAGGTTAAAATTTCAGTCTTCATTTTATAATTTTCTCCCAGATTTTTTCTTTTCATATTCTTGATATTTTTTTAAAAAGAAAATAAAATCTACAAGCCAATTATCAAATGGAGAAAGATATATAATATAAGAAGAATTGAGTAAATTAAATTCATGATTGAAAAACACTAATCTGAAATCAACAAAGAATTAGAAATGAAAAAAAAAAAGGTTAAAGGGAAGAAATTGAGAAAAAGAAGGGTGAGATGCAAAGTAGGAGAGAGAAAGTTTCCCATGTATCATTCAAACATGAAAATTTTTTTATTCATAAGAATTAACTAAAGGTAGGAAAGAGAAATAACAATGTAAATTAAAAAATAGGATTCACATATTTTTTATTAAAAAATAATCTCTCACACATTATGTCATACTTGTGCCTCTACTATCATAAAATTTTGGCCAAACACATATACAACCCCTCTAACTTGCCCTCATTTTTCATTTTGGCATTCCAACTTAGCCCTTGTTCCATTTTTAACCCCTTAAACTCCATTTTTTATGTATCATTTTAACACGAAATACTATTTTTATATATATTCTTCAATTGCAACTTCTTATTTTAAATCGACATTTGTCAGTTAATTTTAGTTTAAAAAAATAAAAATTAACAAAAAATAATTCTTTTTAAAAAATAATAATTTATTTTAAAGAGTTTTATGTATTTTTATGTGAAAGATAACCGACGAAATTGTGTTGGTTTTCTTTCTTAAAAATCACCGACAACCTAATAAAGTCATTCGAGTTTTAACATTTTTTAGTAGTGTTATTAGCAATGAACAAGAGTCTTTTTTTAGTAGTGTTATTAACTAAGTCAATCGAGTCTTTTTGAAGATGGGTTTTTTTATTCGTATTGATTTATATTAAAAAATAAAAGTGAGTATTTGCGTTAAATTTAGATAGCCTAGATGATAAGAAAAAAATAAATAAGTAGTGTTATTTAATTTAATTGAATGTTTAAGAAAGAAAATCAAAGAACTTTCGTCAATTTATTTTCATGCAAAAATACAGAGAAATATCAAAAAATAATATTATTGTTTGAAAATTTTTATGTTCGTTCGCGAATGTTTAATTTTTTTACGAAAATTAACAGACACACGTCTATTTTTTTTAAATAAAAAATTGCAATTGAAGAACATAAATAAAAAAAATCATAAAAATTAGTATTAGTGTTTAAATGGTACAGAAAAAATGGAGTTTAAGGGTTAAAATGGAACAAGGCTAAGTTGGAGTGCCAAAATGAAAAATGAGGGTAAGTTTGAGGGGTTGTGTATGTGTTTGGCCTAAATTTTTTCATTCTGATATACGTAACTCATAATTAATATTTTTTGTCCAAATTCATATAAGCCAAATAATCATTAATTCATTCTACCCATGCGGGACTCTAGCAACCTTTCATTTTTAAAAAAAATCTGATGGATAAAAACATGCTGCAGCTTATAGCCAGGCTTTTGGATTTTGCCTAAAAGGGGAAAAGAGGAAAAAAAATAAAATTGTATCTATTTAAAAATTAAATTAATTGTCAGAGTTCTCCCTCACTGTATTATCATGAAAATTATGTTGTATGTTTTTTGCAGTCTCTCATACATGGTCCCTCACTTAATTGTCCGTTCTTCAAATTGATGGTTAATTGTATAAAAACCACTATTCATGACAGGCTAGAAACAAGAGTTTAAAAAAATTGAAGTTAGACAATATAAATTATATTGGTGGTTTAATTTAGGAGAGCTAAGTTTTGTAAAACAATTACTATATTATTGTGAAAAAATTGAACATCTAGACCGTAACCTTGTTATTTTTTTTAAATTTTTTTGGGTTTACTAAAAGAGATTAATAAAGATTACCGTTTATAAAAGGGATAAGGGTTTGAAAAATACCTCAACTTTGGTCGAATTTGCTGTTGCGATACTAAACTTTCATGAAGACCTATGACCTCCCTAGACTATTTAATACCGTATTTTAAACATATATATTTGCCCACGTGGACATAAAAAATAATGCAAAATTATAAATAGTAATGTGTCCACGTGGACACATATATACCTTCAAAATACACTATTAAATAGTTCAGGGGGTAAAAAATACGGTATTAAATAGTGTAGGGAGGTAATAGGTCCTCATGAAAGTTTAGAATCGCAATAACAAATTCGACCAAAGTTGGGGTATTTTTCAGACCCTTATCCCTTTATAAAATAATGCTTTTAGGTTTGTCATGGAAAGAAACTCAGAAATTATTGTTTTATTTTTCTTTAAAACACAATTACAAATAACAATTATGTTACAAAATTATATTTATCATATGCATGAAAATCAATTATTTTTTGTTGTGTGTAAAGAGCAAGTGTAAGACTTGAGCCTTGTTTAAAATGAACATCGGTGATTAATTAGAATGTAGTTGCAATTAAGAAACCTATATTTAAATCAACTTTATTAAGTATATAATTGATTCCATCTCTCTCCAAAAGAAAGAGAGAGGATAGGAGATCATGCTTCTAAATGATTTTTTAAAATTGTTTTTCGTTGATCCTGATTCTATCGAATCAACTTCTTCAATCTTGATGTGCTTCTTCTATAGTTCTATTCTTACCCAAGCGTGTTGATTTCACTTAAATAAAAGCAACTCTTAGTACGTTGTACAAATATAAATATTTTTAAAGTAAAAAATTAATATTATTTTATTCATTATTTGATTATTAAACATGATAGTATAACTTAAACATCAAAGTTAGGATAATTTTATACCTACTAGATCATGGAATGATAATATCGAGACTAGTTGTCCCTGAATAAAATAGTGAAAATGAAAAAAATATTCATAAAATCCCTTAAATTCTTTTTCTACTAAATAAGGTGGGGATATTGTTATAAATAAACTTTTTTTTTTAAAAAACAATTGTATAATACACATGTTATTATCATTATAACAAATCAAACAATTAATAAATACAATTACTAATTTCAGCATATTTTATCCCAACATAACATATTTTCAAATCAAAAGCCCCTCGAAATACTCAAAGTTTTCAGTGGCGACATGAAAAATTTCTTTGTAGTATGTCAAATATTATCTCTGATAAAAACAAGAAAAAACTGTCATTGAAATGGACTTGAATTATTATCACATATATTGCGGTACAAATAAATTAAATAGCAATATTGCAATTTTTAATTTTTAAGTGGCTAGTATTAATTACTTAGAAAAAATAAATATTATTGTACCGATCATGATATGAAATTACATATCCAAACACAAGCTTAGTACCGCCCTAGCACAACGTTTAGCCCGTGGTGTACTATCTATAAATATATGTAAACATTGAGAAGCAAATAAAGGGAAAAAACTCATTTCCCATAAGTAGTTTTTGTATATCTTGTTTCTCCATTATTATTAATGGCTCCCAAAACACCTTCTTCTCTTCCTCTTTATGAAATTAAGTATAGAAAAAACTATATATCAAGAGTAATAGAACTCTTCATTCTTTTCCTTTTGTTCTCACTTTTGGCCTATAGATTCCTCACTCTAAAATTTCATGGTTTACAATGGCTCTTGGCTCTTATATGTGAATCATGGTTCACTTTCATTTGGATTCTCACCGTTAGCTCAAAATGGAATCAAGTTGAACCAACAACATATCCTCTACGCCTTTTGGAACGGTACCACAATCAAACTTCCTCTTGATATATAGTCGGTCGCTGCGAAGATAGAATTTTCAGTTAATAAGTTTTGAATGCTAAAAAAAGCTAGCTATTAAATTCCTTTTTATAAATTAAGTGAATTGTTAAAAGAAAATCATGAGTTGAAGTTACTGAATTCTACTAAACTCGTATATATGCATGCAAAATCTAACGTCACTCTTAAATTTAATTTATATGTAAATATCATTGCTCGTTAATATAGGTCGCTTCTCTTCTTTCAGATTACTGATTTCACTTATTATAAATATTTATTTGAAGTTATCTTTGAAGTACCTTATAGCAATAGTGGAGCTACCTAATATGAAGGGCTTCAATTGAAACCTCTTCATTTAAAAATATGTCCCATAAAATAATTTTTGTATATGTATATATATATATATATATA